TTAGTTTGGGACTAGAAGCGCAGTGTAAAATGTCCAAGGATATTTATTATTTATATTTATTTATTTTAACTTCATATTATCTTTCTTTCTAACTTAATATGAAAAGCAAGTACTTAAGATACTTCTTTGAACTTAATAAAAAGAAATTTTAAGGTACCCCAACCATAAATCAGAAACTAAACTAACAGTCTTGAATACCGACCACTCCCAGAGAATAGTATCAAGTATTTACTACCAACTAAATACATACTTTCCTCGACCCATAAACCGGAGAGCTACGTAAACCACCCAGATTATTCATTGAAAAAACCATGCTCAAGTCGGGATCTCGCGAAAATAAATTTAATTTTTCATTGTGCAGCACAAAGGGGAATTTTAATGCAATTTAGGAGATGCATTGTACCTGAGTGCTCGAGTTTTTAGTACACGACTTAAAATATGAAGGTGTCAGCGTAGGAGTGAATGGAGAAACAGGAATTGCGGGGCAAAATAGGCTTTAGCTTTGCGACACTGGATTTTTGCCTGAAAAAGCGAAATATTATGAAAGGTTTCTCTCAGGCATGTGGCGTTTTCGTGTTTTTAGTGAGGGGTTACTAAAATGTTGTTACATTTTAGATTAAAAGGTGAAAAAAATGTGGTAGGAATTATTACGACAGCGATGGCGTAATGTTTCGCACTGCCTACATACTTCAAACTGAACGATTGTATTTCGTGGTCTAGTGAGGCATGTTGTTGAAAACCATATTTAAGTTATAGTCTAGATCAGTGGTTCTTAACCTTTAAGTCACGAGGGACCATTTTACCAAAGGGTTATGCCCACTTAGTATGGGACCTTTGGCCTGAGGTGGACAGACATTACAGCATGTAATTTGTTATTTATTAAATAGTCTATACCAGTAAGAAACAGAATATAAATATCATTTTGTATCCAAGTCCTTAAAAAAATTTTTTTGGGCTTAAGACTAGAAAGGTTAGATGCAAAATAAAACACCATTTTTTTATTATTATTATTTTAATCTGACTCATGGGTCAATAAAATATTGTCTAGGAACTAGGCAGGTGGAAATACATGTTCCTGATACCTTGCCCAGCTCAAAAACCACTAAATTGTCATAACATGAGCACAGCGACCTACTGTTATTCGGCCAATATAAGGGCAAATGAATCCTCGTCCCATCATGTGTTTGTTGGGGCTCCACAGCATATGTAGCAGCTCGATCAGCTCACTGCCATCAGGGATGACATATTTGGTCAGATCCCCGCAGCTGAAACAAAGAAATTAATTATGGTATCATTCAAAATTCATTCTTTAAGATATTGAGATGTGATGTCAATTTTTATCTATCAGTNCGTAAAGGTAGCAGGGAAGCGCTGGACGCAGGCCGCTTCCAATCGATCAACATAGAAAGCATTGGGGGAGGCCTATTTTCAGCAGTGGACGTCCTATGGCTGAAATGATGGTGGTGGTGGTGGTACATATGTATACTGAAAATGTATCATTAGAAATCAACTACTGGGCCTAAGGAGATAAAAGGAGGGTTGGAAGTTTATATTATGTTTAAAGAAAGAGAGTTGAAATTTAAAATGTATGCGCTATAGGTGCTAAGAGCGGATTTTACGAAACTCCACCCCTAATGGAGTAAAACGAGGTCCACGCGTACGAAGTCGCGGGCGGCCGCTAGTTATAACATACGTTTATTATACAATATGAACGTTATTGAAATGAATTTATATCATATAAACTTATATAAACTGTCACGCACCCTATAAAATATGTTCGCAAACATCAAAGTTTACATTCCCATATCTCTACATTTACTAAAGCGGTGGCATATGTTCAGAACGACCGATGCAAGTGACGACGTGTATGTGTCAACTAAACGGCACTTTGATTTACTATCTCTGCAGTTTGAATGTCTAGGAAAATCTTTGAATATCTGGAAATATTTTGAAACTGTATTGTGAACTTGATGGATTTTGTGTAGGATCGGATCGATATGGGTCCAACGATAGATTAACTCCCCCGGGACAAACTTGACCTTCACTGGTTTGTTTTTATTGGCGGTCAAGCTATAGATTCTGGCTACACAGGTGTTGCAGCGGTGGGAACGAGAAGTAGGAATAGCCTGGTGGTAGTAAGTCAAACTGCTTGTTGTATTTTGTTACTTTATTGATTAATACTTGGAGTATTTTTTGTGTGTTGAGCACGAGAGTTGGCTCAGTGATATAGTATTCAAAGGATAATAAGATGATAAGTTCCGTCGACTGCTCGAATATTCGAATTTACTTCTAACACTAGCTTACTTGGAGGGGCTGGCAGGGGAATTTGTACAAAAATACTAGCTTTAAAAAACCTGTAATAAGTAAAAAAATATTGATTATGACCCTTTTTTAATTAAGTGGCATTAAGCACAAAATTGACTGCACGTTATAAGTAGTATTCGGTAGTTCCTTTTTCAAGCACCCTAGCGCTCCAAAACATAAACACCGAGGACACATATTCGGAGACATATGGCCGGAACCCGGTGCACGTAGGTGTGTCAACGGTACGGTTTGATTTACGGGACAATGAATCCCTGCGGCTAACATGCTCTGCTCTAACTCGCTTATGACTTAGGCCTCAGCTTCGAGTTTAGCGGGCAGCGGGGCGGGAGCGGCGGCGGCGCGGGAGCGCACTCCTTCTTTTGCCCACAGTAAATCGAGCGTTAGGAATAAATTTGAATCGAAATAAAATTGTCGCCGTTGTTCAGACATTTCGTTTGCGAATAAAAACAAATATCTCGACAACACAACCCCGAACACAACACTTCGCCGCTAAAGCGCCGCGCGAGCTGCCCGCTTGTTTCGAGAACGGGTCTGCGTTGCCCGCCCCCTTCCCGCGCCGCCGCCGCTCCCGCCCCGCTGCCCGCTAAACTCGAGGCTGATTCCTTAGCGCAGCTGGATAATACCAGTTGTTCAGATAATTTAGACGAGCAATAATAAGTTTTGATTTTAGAATATTAGGTTTATAGATTTACCAAGTTTGAATATAAAACACAATGCAATCAAGTTAATAGTTCGGATTCGGTCTTTAAACTCAAATTTACGTTAATACCTACTTAATTAAAGTTAAGTCAAGTAGAGTTAATGACAACTGCATTTCGCTTTATAACTGGAATGAATCCCTTGAGTGCCGTGTACTCTCTGACTAAAAACTTAACTTAGTTCATTGGGAATAGTGGAACTTTTTACTGAGATGTAGATATATTTTCATAATAGGACTTCTTCACAAAATAAAATATGTTTTGAAGTCATGACTACTCAGTTACATTTATTTTCTAACAAGCTTTATCTAAAGGTAAAACCATTGCCATATAGAATTCTAAACCAAGCATACAACAAGTAGGTACGGAAGGTAATTTCACCATTTGTTTTTAACTTCGTTATCTGTCAAACGTAACGGTGAACATAAACTTCGTCGCGTTCGGTCTGAAATAAAACTAGAATTTGAACTGGTAGCTGCAACACTTTTGCCGCACATGCTCCTAAAGTTGGTTTAGAACTAACTCTGTCTAGTAAAAATGGTCAAGATAAAATATTTACGACTTCCGAATGTTTTAAATGTTTACTTGAGCATGTTTAATTTTGACCGGCATCATAAAGCAATGTGTAAAGCAGGATAATGTTTAGACTAAAACAGAGTGAGATTGGTTGACTTTTTTTGATAAATAAAAAATATTTAGCAACCTAATGACTCTCATCAAGTTTATAAAACTTCCTAGTTATTTAACCGGTTGTATAAGTATTTTGTATACCTAATTTCTTCCATTTTTTTTAACTTCATATCATTATTTCTAACTTAATATGAAAAGCAAATGTAACTTAATGTAAAACTTAATAAAAATCAATTTTAAGGTATACCCCCAACCATAAATCAGAAACTAAACTAACAGTCTTGAATACCGACTACTCCCAGAGAATAGCATCAAGTATTTACTACCAACTAAATACATACTTTCCTCGACCCATAAACCGGAGAGCTACGTAAACCACCCAGATTATTCATTGAAAAAACCATGCTCAAGTCGGGATCTCGCGAAAATAAATTTAATTTTTCATTGTGCAGCACAAAGGGGAATTTTAATGCAATTTAGGAGATGCATTGTACCTGAGTGCTCGAGTTTTTAGTACACGACTTAAAATATGAAGGTCAGCGTAGGAGTGAATGGAGAAACAGGAATTGCGGGGCAAAATAGGCTTTAGCTTTGCGACACTGGATTTTTGCCTGAAAAAGCGAAATATTATGAAAGGTTTCTCTCAGGCATGTGCCGTTTTCGTGTTTTAGTGAGGGGTTGAGTACTAAAATGTTGTTACATTTTAGATTAAAAGGTGAAAAAAATGTGGTAGGAATTATTACGACAGCGATGGCGTAATGTTTCGCACTGCCTACATACTTCAAACTGAACGATTGTACTTCGTGGTCTAGTGAGGCGTGTTGTTGAAAACCATATTTAAGTTATAGTCTAGATCAGTGGTTCTTAACCACGAGGGACCATTTTACCAAATTTCTGTCTTATCAGGGACCACTTTTTTTTTCAAAGTCCCATGAAAGGGGAGATCGATTTCTCGCCCACTGTGCGCCGTTTGCGTTGTGTTGACTCGACTCATCACGCCACGTCACTTGTTTATTACGATGTCTTCGCGGACCACTTCGAATGAATCCAGGGACCACCAGTGGTCCGCGGACCACCGGTTAAGAACCACTGGTCTAGATCGTTTCATCCACGAAGACGCGCCCCACCAATTTTTGGTCGAGGGAAGCGCGGGGTGCGGGGAGTTTGATCCGAGCAATCCGAGCGTTATTATTGTTAGTGTGCGTGTGCAGTCATGGATAATTTAGCGTGAACCAATAACACTCAAACATTAGCGGAGGAATGGTGGGCGCGTCTTCGTGGAAGAAACGATCTATACGCTACTAGTAGCTATACCTACTGTGTTTTAATCTGTATTTTTTGTTCCAGTTATCAGCAACTCTGCTGGTTCTCCTCCATCTATCCATGAACGTCGTAGACGAGGGACACGCTGTCAACCCAAGTAAGTCAACGAAAATAAGTTTTGTTTTCTAAAATAAGACCTAATTGTTTATTTATACATTATACTCACAGACTGAGAAATGTCACTGTCAGACTCTGACTACTAAGCCATTATTTGTTGTCTTAAGGTAAGTATTGNGAGTATAGACTAGCTTGAGCAACAGAACTTACTTTACTAACTATTTTACTAACTTTACTTGTAACAGAACAATCCTTTCACGAACCAAACGTCGTACCTACATTTTACCTGTATTGTACCATTCGTCAGAACGTTACATTACATAGAAATGCTTTAGTCTATACTCACCCTTATATGAACGAGTAAGCTTTTGCGATGCGAATGTAGATTTGAAAGGTGCTTTAATTTTAACTTTCCCGACGTTATTAATTAAATGTTATTATAAAAAGTTTAGGCGTAGATTTGAGTGTATAGTGCCCGTTTTCACCATCAATTCCTATTTTTTAAGTGACCCCTATGACAACAAAATTCATAAGATGTGTTACCATAGGGGTCACTTAAAAATTAGGAATTGATGGTGAAAACGGGCATAAGTTCCATAATAAAACATAAAACTTTATTGAAAATAAACCAATTCGTTGCTAAAGAGCAATGAAACTCCGAGTACGTTCAATAAATAATTGAAACGCTGACGATAAAATAAATAAGAAATTAAAGGTTTCCTTTAAAAATAAAACCAGTCCATAAAAGCGACTGTAAAGTATATTCTCGAACAAATCTTTGCCGAGAATTCGCTTTCAGACTTAAATGGGCCAAGTCTATGAACTTAATTTAGTTGGAATGTTCATAATGGATAAAAATCTCAGGCAATGTATAAGCGTGAGTAGCTTAAGTTCCTGAAATTATTACGCCGTCTTAACATCCATCTACATAATTCATTGCGTTATTGTTGAGTTTGTTAGTTGTATTACTTTTGTATTTGGCACGTTCATAGTCTTACTGATTATTTATTATTGGAGCTAGAAGTTAGAAGAGTTTCTGGAAGCTTTTGGAAATTCTACTTGCTTTTCGGACTTATGACTAAACTGATCCTACTTTAAATATCTCTTGCAATGATTTTGTAACAGATAAGTTGTTTATAGAGTACTTATTCTCTGAAGCCAATTCCAGACCAAAGGTGATTCCATAATACGTCATACTTTGTTTTGCACCAAAAATTTCGGATACATGTTGGAGTACCCATGTCCAATAAAAATGTCAGATTTAAGAACTCTACACGACCTTATTTCCAAAATATATGTGACGGTTAATGTGATAAATTAAAAATTATTAATAATAACCAGCTATTATGAATAATTACTGACAGTCGCGGTAAAAGTTATAAATTAATCACATTTAACAGTGATTATTTAATAATTCAACCTTAGTACTAACAAATTTCATAAAAGAGAACAAAATCTTGTGTACGTGCTCGTGTACAGCCAAACTTTTAAACGTTTTGATATCATATATTAATATAATTTGGCATAATGAGTTTGGAATCTTTCTTGCATAATATTACCTTTCCTTGATACCTATAACATAGTATTTTGATTTAAAGTGAAAAATAGGTTAAAGTGCGGCGGGGGTGGCCCTTGGGCTACCCCTAAGCCGCCTATTTAGTTTTATACACACATAAATGACCTCATATTAATCACATTTACCAAATCATGCGGTAATTATTCATAATAACCGGCGATTATTCATAATTTTCACATTTATCACTTTGACCGTAACATATTATATTATTATGCCTATAAAAAACAGAATTTTTTTTTAAACTAAGGCAAACTTACTATAATATATCTGTCAGAACCATTCGCCTCATAAAGCTGTTCCATGAATTTGGGACGTGCAAGGTCACCTAAAAATACATTTTGTACGGAGTTCGTGAGGTACGAGTAACACGTTGGACGCAATATTTTCAGAACCATCACATTAAATTATCTTGATTAGAGAGCTGCTCAGTGTACCTAGTTAATGTTTACTTTTATGAGAAATACGAGAGCTGTTATTTTTGGTTGGGTCCAAGATCTTACTATTTTATATGCCAGGACTACATTTTAATTGACGTCCAAACTGTAGATGATGACAAATGTTTTAGTATCATAATAATAAATTACTTATTAGATAACCCCTAATTACTTACAAATTATTGCGTTGCGGTCTTGGACGAATAGTGGTTTATTCGTCCAAGGTTGCGGTCCCTCCTCCTCCCATCATCATTGTAAAAAGGATTTGTTCCTTGTGACAGCAATTCAGGTGAGCACGATGTAGGGATTGTAATAACGGGCGTCGTTTTTATAAATCACCCTTTTTCAAAAAGTAGGTGACATCTTATGAAGTTGGGATAAGGGCTATTTCGCAACAACAATTGTATGGACTGATGTACTTTTGTCTGTACGTGTTAGGCCTAGAGCTCATGCAATTTCTTATTTTATAAAGGCTCTTTCAAACTCCTTTCATTTAGGTATGAATGAAAATTTCAATGGCTGAAATACAATAGATGCTCTAAAAAATCTGCAGGGATATAATTTAAAACTAAATGTTAACATTCGATTTTTTGTATTTAAAAGACAGGAATCGCATGTTTCGGATATTAAACTCGCCTAAACGCCAATAAAACTAGTAAGCGCCGTTTAACCTTTTCCTCGCGGGCCGTTTGCGGTGTAAATGCCAGTGACAACTAGGCCTTAGGGTGAACTGTTCACGAATAATACTTACCAAAATTGTGTGTCAAACACCTAACGGTTTAGTTGTATTCAAGTAAACCCGCAGGTGGGGTCACCATGCGTCAGGATTTTTCAGGAATTTTGACCGAACTTAGAACCCATTCGAGTGATTCCTTGGTTTGAAAATTTTCTTAAGACAGCCACATACCGTGTACCGGAAAACGCAGCGTGAGACGTCCACCCACAAGGTGGATGGACGCCATCTTAAAGGTAGCAGGAGGCGCTGGACGCAGGCCTCTACCAACCGGGCAACATGGAAAGCATTAGGGGAGGTCTATGTTCAATAGTGGACGTCCTATGGCTGAGATGATGATGCAGATGATGAGCCACATAAATCTACACTTTCCTCAAGTTTGAACTAAGTTTCATTTAACAAGTGTGAATTACGCGGGGTATTATCCTCATCATTTCAGCCATAGGTCGTCCACCAGCGAGCAAAGGCCTCCTCTAATGATTTCCAGATTGTTCTGTTGGAAGCGGCCTGTATTCAGTAATTATAATTAGTCAAAAATATACTATAAAGCGTGTTTTTCATCAGGACTTTCCGTGCATATGGTGACCCTACCCGCAGATATATTGCTGCGGTCCCAAATTAGGTTACCAACGCTCATGGGTGACCGCCACGGCATTCCGTGCCTGCCACAATGGGAGATTTATATGACGTATGTATACGCAGGGTTGTTTAGCTAAAACAATTGTTTTAATTAATGATAAACATATAAATCTGACGTAATACTCGGCGTGTGATAACGAAGTTATAATTTTAAATTACGTGTTAAACATGGTTAGTTTTGAAGGGCGATGATTAGGATGTTCTCAACCTTGAATAAAAGTAAAACGTTCTTAAACTGCGAACTTATTTGTTTAATATTACGCAGAATCAAGATACAAAAGGTTAATTAAATACCAAAGAGCATTTCGCGAAAGTCAACCATTGGAGTCAAGCAGAATATTATGTTCTAAGTACCTAAAATTTGTGTTCGAACGAAACCTATCGATATAATATCTTTTTATATCGATAGGTTTCGTTCGAACAAAAATTTAGAAAAAATCTTATTAAATATCTAAGCTAGCTAAATAAATAATCAAAATACATTTTAAATTATCTCCTTACTCGCGTGTCAAAGTTCCAACTATACAGGGTGTCCAGAATAAAATATTCAAACAGTTGGCTTTCGAAAACATAATAGCTTTCCCGCACGCACATTAGCGAACTTCCAAAAAGCTCCGTCAGAATCGTCGGAACGGGATGCATTTTTCAGTGGTGAAAAAACAAAAAAACTTTTATTCGAGTGGTTCAGCGGGGGAACCGTTTCAGCTTTTTAACAGGTTAATGTTCATCACAGGAAACAAGGGGAACTGGGAAAAAAGGGAAAAAAGCAAAGTGCTCTTTGTAAATACAGCGGAAAGCTTTATACAGCTGCTGTTACTGTTTTCGGCCGTAGTTTTGAGTGGGGGCGACAATCTCGTTGAATGGAGTGGTGAAATGAACTAGTGGGATACCTATTGAGTTTTCACTACGTGTTATTTTTGATGGAGAGTTTTTAAACTCATCTTTTGTGAATTATAAAACTGAGGATAGTTTGAGTCGTGATGGATTGGTGGTTTATCTTTTTACTAAATCACAATATAACAGCCACTATGGTGCTGATCCCATATGTGTCGTCAGGACTCGAGACTTATCTCACCTCTCGTTTCATCCGCTGCAATTCTCACATTGTCAGGATCCATATTTTGATCGATAATTAAACCCAAGCAGGGTATATTGAGCAGTCCCCAGGGATACCTTAATAATATTGGAGCCCGCAACGAATTTATTCAGAAAAATAGTTCGAAGTCTAAAGTTGGTTGTATGATGCTTCAATTTTTGTCCACGCTGGATTTACGTAGGTACTTATCTAGTGTAGGTACAGTCAACCCCGAAAATGAGCGCACGATGCCCGCCTCTGAATAATGCATGGAAATGTGGCACACGGCTAAATAACGCAGTCAATAACCACGGATTGAGGGCACGAAAATTAACGTCTGCAATTTGATGGCAATGGACGGTGACAAGCGGTAACAACAATATGGCAGAAAATGAAATTGCTGGTCATTTAAAATTGTAAAAGTTTCACGCTGTAAACACCCTGTATGTTATAAGCAATAAAATCCCACAGCCTGCTTGGTTGAGTATTCTCTCTATCTTTGATGCCCAGGTTAACACAAACTATTTTCCGTGTTACTTAAAATTGATCGTATACTATGTCTAGTATCGAATAATGTAACTTT